AGCTGAGAGGCATGCGGTACCACCCCATCGACATAGAAACCTCTGTGATCCGCGCACACAGGAACATTGCAGAATGGTAAGAGCTGATGGAGGGATTTCCCGTGCTGTCCGTCCAGCCTCTCCCTGGGCATGAGCACTGCGCACAAGGGCAGCACCAGGCACTGTTCTACCGTGAGCACAGTCCCCACACGGTTACAGTCCCTGGTGAGCTAGACTGCCCTCTCCTTTCTCCCAGAAGGACCTGCATCTCTCCTCTTCTAGGTACATTTCTGCAGAACAGCAGCAGGATGTCTCCTGGTCCTTTCCCCTTCCTGATCAGGTTTAAGTCACACAACTGTCTTCAGCATACAGGCAGAATGTGAGATTGCCACTGCCTGAAGGATTTCTAGTTTAAATGTGGTTTTCCTTTTAAACAGTGGTGGGCCATGGTCTCTTCACTCTCTAGGAGCTTGCCTGGGACAGTACAGCTTTGTTCTTGATTCTTATTCCTATAAGATGCAGTTAGTCCAGCTTTAAGAACATAAATGACGTTAAATGGCGGTGCTGTGCCAGTGATGTGAGCAGGCGTCCTTGCTCAGTCTGGCATACTTCCCTAGCATCTGCTCCCTGTGCTGTCCATCTCTGACTGATTGTTCTCCTTCAGTGCTGTGTTCACCTGGACCAATCTGCTGGTGGTGGTGGTGGAGCTGGACGGTCTGGAGCAGGATGCCCTGGACCTGGTAGCACTGGTCACCAATGTCGTGCTGGAGGAACACTACCTTGTAGTGGGTGTGGTGGTCATCGTAGATCCTGGGGTGATCCCCATCAACTCTCGGGGTGAGAAGCAGCGCATGCACCTGCGCGACGGCTTCCTGGCTGACCAGCTGGACCCCATCTATGTGGCCTACAATATGTGAGTGTAGCTGGACAGAGCTGGGTGTGCGAACCAGCAGAGGCGTAAGGAAAGATGAGCTGCACTGTTGACGCCCTGGGAGAAGGGATTTCAGGCTTCACCAGTTCACCCCTGCCCTGCGTGTGCTTTTCAGATCCTCTCGACAGCGTCCTGACTGTCTTGTCAGAACACGTCTGAATGAACTAAAGAAATGTTCTGGGTCTGCCAAGTGTATTTACCAAAACATGGGTGACTGGGAAGGGAAGGAAGCCTGGTGTTACTCTGCGGACATTGCCAACACCACGGCTGTTCCCCGCTCTACTGCGAGCTTGCACTTTCTTACCCTAAAAATATTCCTGATTTCTAAATATATAATTTCCTGATTATTTATTCCCACTTGTACTAGCAAGCATATACGTAAAGTCTATGCTGGAGAGAACTTTTGAGCCAAGCCTGCCTAGGAGGGCTGAGGAGAGGAGCAGCCCCCTCTCCATGTTCACAGACCCCACTGAGCCACACAGCTTCCTGCTCCAGCGTGATAACCGGAGCAGGTGTGCCTGGCTGTCTGCGTGTGTCGTCACTAATGCTCAGTGAGTGCCATTTGGACTACTTAGCTCCAGTTCAGAATGATAAACCAGCATTTAATTTAAAATCGCTTCCTAGCCTATAACTCAGTGACATTTAAATTGCAAGTTCTCATGACATCACAATACTAATTCTTCTCACGAAGTATAGTGAATTATTTTCATGAATAGGTCTGGAAGCTTGAGTGGCAACCTAAGGTCTTACCTGTGTGCTAGCTGGGTCTCCTTCACACTTGAGTTGCCGTGGGAGTCTGACTGTCTAGGACGGACACCGCTGCAGCCTCTTGGCTTTGCATTTGAGTTATGTGCCTATAACATTTGGCCAAACCATTTATTTTATCCAAACTTGAAATCCAAGTGATCTAATATTGTACTTATGTCAGAAAAGAGAATGTAAAATCCTTTAGATACTTCTGAGAATTTGAAGTTGAGCATGAATCTAAGATTATTTTTATATGACTAATCAAAGACTAGTGTTATCAAGTTGTTGGGATTTGGGGACTTTCAAGGGTAGAGAAGTTTATGACTCATACCTGCTTCACAGAAACAGCTCAATTTTTCTAGAGTTAGCCTGGACTTGTGCGTCAGTGAGTCTAGCTACCTGGTCCCCCTCCGCGTCTCCCTCTCAGAAAGCACTATGTGCAGCAGCCTTCTTGCTCATGGTGTCAAACTATGGTGGAGTATGTGGAAACATACTGGAACTTTACTAATCACGTTATGATCGTGTACAGAATCCGTGTAACTTACGACTTGGCCAGAGCTTTAGCAGCAGACTGGTGAAGGCTCACAGTGATGACCGGAACAGACCGCCCATCCACGGTCTCAGTGTTGTAGTTTTATAGTAAACAGCGCTTGGAAAGTTTTTGTATTAAAAACTCAGTGGCAGTAAGAACGTATCTGGTAAGTTAAGATTTTAAGAATCGTATTAAAATGTTTTAAAGTTACTCTCTGGGAATTCTGTATATCACACTAATTTTTTATATCATGTTAATAAAAGCTATTGACTTTGTAATTCTGCATTTTGAAATGTGTGAAAGGGTTTTAAAATTTTCCCCGAATAGGATGTATTTTATTATGCATTATTTCTTTCAGAAATACAAAAACAATTATGCATATATATATATATCATATAAAATCTGAAAAACACATTAAAGCGTAAGAAAGGAAATTTAAAATCTACCCTTCTACTGGTGAAGTAATAGCAGTCTTGGTATTGCCATGAATCTCAGGGATTTTTAACCTTTAATTTTTTTTTTCCTTTACAAAATTAGGACCATATACTTATTTTATAATCTGCTTTTGTACTTAATAAATTGCAGACTTTTGAATCTGTCACAGACATTCTTTACATGTCTTAATGACGACCTTGCGTGGTGTGCACGATTGCAGGCAGCATTTCCTGGGCTGCTGTACCCACACCACTCACCACCGCGCCCTGAGCCGCCTCCCTGATGCCGCCTTTCCACAGTGGCATTTCCCACCTGGCCTCAGTTCTACTGGCAGCATGGGTAGGTCAGAGTTTGTGGTGGGTGTGGTCCCTGGGTACTTCACCCCCAGCACTGCAGTACTGGCTACCCCTCTCACACTTCACATCTCTCTCCTGCTGTGCTGTTCTTGGCTGCCTTTGAGGTTAAAGACTAGGGCTTCCTCCCTGAGCTCCCTGCTCAGCTTTGCCTCAGGCTGCACGGAGAGGATCTCAGGACCCCTGCAGAGATCTGGCCACCTTAGAGCACCTCCTCAGAGAGGGCCAGGCTGGAGAGTGCAGCTTCTCAGCATGGCTGACTCAGGTGCCGCTGCGAGTGTGGGCCACTCATCAGCAGAGGACAGACTTCCCCCAGCCCCAACAAATGGAAGTGTCATTTATGGGTAGGTGATACATAGTTTGGGAGCCTGCACTGGCATGAAATCCATGCCCAACTCTAGTCCCGTGGGCAGCAGCCTCCTAGAAGGTTCTTGAAGAGAAAGCAGTTGACCACATCTTCTTTCTAGAGGGGTTCAGGAGGCTTGGATAAGCAGATGCCCCTGACCATGTGGGAAGTGTAGCCTCCAGGCAGAAAGTCTGAGTCTGTGCAGCCTTTGAACATTCCAGAGCTTTCTGCTGCCCCAGCTGCCTTTCGCCTAACTTTGGGCTGTGCCTGAGGGATGGGGTGAGGTCTGGGCCATCCCATTTTAGGGACATTTAGTCTTTGTCCTGATCTGGTGTGTACTTTATTTTTATTTTTTGTTTAGTGGTAGAAAATTTTTACATTGTTATTTTATGCAAGCACGTTGTTCAGTTGACTTAATGAGTTTTTAAGTACCTAGAAAAGGGGTGGGTAAGAAAAATTAGAATTTTCCTAGAATAGCTTTTTAATATTTATGATGTGATTTTTCTCTAATTGCAACTTGAATTATTTGAACCTTCATTATTTGAATATCTAGGTTAAAAAGCATGATGTTCAGCTTCCTGCCATTCTTGACTCAACCTCACCAAGTGGCAAGCAGGCCCTATGCACAGCAGATCAGCCATGACCTCCAGCCACTGAAGGGCACATTTGAGGAACCCTTCATTCCCCCAGTGACTCACCCTACAGACTTCAGACTCATGGTCACCTGCTTTATAGACAGCAGAGGGAGCCGGGGAGATAGAGCTAGCTGGAAAGAGACCTTACACTGCAGATGGGCTTTTCTTTGGGCCCCCGGCTCACAAAAAAGTGACATGAAGACTTATTATTAATTATGAAAGTTCAGCCAATAGCATAGACTTGTTCCTAACTAGTTTTTATAGTGTAAATTAACCCGTATCTTTTAATCTGTGTTTCTTTATGTAGCTTTGTTACATTTATTCTGTACTCCCCATCCTGCTTCCTCGCCTTCTGGCTGGCGATTCTACCTTTCTTCTTCCCAGCATTCTCTTGGCCCTGAAAATCCTGCCTAGCTATTGGCTGTTCAGCTTTTTTATTAAACCAATTAGAGTGACACATCTTCACAGTGTACAAAAATTATTCCACAACATTTTCCCCTTTTTGTCTAAATAAGAAGGAAGGAGGCCGGGCGGTGGTGGCGCACGCCTTTAATCCCAGCACTGGGGAGGCAGAGGCAGGCGGATCTCTGTGAGTTCGAGACCAGCCTGGTCTACAAGAGCTAGTTCCAGGACAGGCTCCAAAACCACAGAGAAACCCTGTCTCG